GCTGTTCTGGCGCTTATTTTCAAGGGGCTGAAGTTCAATAAGAAGTCTATCCGCTTCTTTCCTCTTTCGAGGGACCTTGGCCTGTAGAGACTCCAGTTCTCGCGCAAGTTCCTGTTGTTCGAGCTTTCGTTGATTGACCAGGTCTTGTGTCTTGGCCAATGGTAAATTCATGTCGGGGCCGGTTCCATCTGGCATTTCTTGCTCCGAGCGCAGTGTTTCAATTATTTCTTCCAGTTCCTCAATTTTGGCGGGCATCTCGCGCAGTTGGGCGGTTTCGAGCTGTACACTCTCGTACTTCTTGCTCAGTTCGATACCCCGTTTTTCAAGATTGGCCACCATTTCTGCGACTTCTGTCTTTAACTCTTTGAGCTCCTTTTTGACAACCATGTTTTCCTTCTCAAGCTCAAGGTTCTCTTCCATGGTGACAATCATTGGTGGGTCGCCAACAATGGCTCGGATAAACTTCTCCTTTGTGACTTGCTGCACATAAGAGAATCGTAACTTTGCGAATAGTTCTTTGTAATGAGCAAGATCGGCCGTTAAGCTTGCCGGCGTGAGCGCGTCAAAGGCTGAATTGGACGCATCTGATGTACGCTGTCGTGCATCTTGGGGCTTTGAGTTTGAGATGGGTTCACTGAGTTTGATGATTGAGATTTCTTGTGTTGATTGGAGTTTTGTCAAGGTATCCAAGACCTTTTGCACGTCAGGCTGTCCCATTTTTAAGTCTGTCGTTTGCCGAAGTGATATTATAGCTGAGAATGTAACAAAGAAAATACACGCTTCATTTATGAAGAGTTGATGCGCCTGAGATGTTGACAATGAACCCGATATGGATTAGTGCCCTAGGCTGCTTCATGCGAAGCGGTGAAGAACGGCAGATACCTGCTGACATCAATTAGATGCAACTTCAAGCCGAGAGGTAACGGCTGAATCTGAATCCTAAACTCAAATTACTTTTTTTTGACACAATTTTGCAGTCGACATATATATATCTTGACGTTGTGTCACAATTTTGGACTTTCAAACACGCGCAAGTATGTCGAAGAATAACGAACTTTTAACCGATGACTACGTCGCGGACCTCCTTTCGCAGGAGGCAACCGACTGCTCTTTAAAATACTCAACCATGGGCATGGAAGCATACCGCACGAATAAGAAGTAACATAACCCGATCGATTTTGGCATGTCTGTCGCTGACATGGCTTCAGACCTGCGAATATGATGAAACCAAACACCCGATTTTTACGTCATATTATTAAAGATACCGACCATCACAACAAGGCACTATTAGCCAAAGAGGCCGCCGAGTCCAAGGCGCGATTGAAGGACCTTGAGCGCAGCGAAGAAATCAAACGGCGCAAGACAAATCCGAACGTGAACGACATCAGGCGACGGCAAATGGGCGATATTCATGCCATTCTAGGCGGCAAGCGACGACCAAGAACTGAAGACGAAGCCGGGCCTTCATCGAGGAGAGATTTAAAACGCAGCGACAGGGACCAAAAATCAGAGCGCGAACAAGAACAAGATTCGAATGATCTTTTTGCGAAAAAGCGCAGCGATCGCGGCCAACATGGTCGATTGTCGCGAGAAGATCGTCACAGTAAGACAGACGACGATTCCAGACGGTCAGACAGGTCACGGAGAGAGCACAAGCGACGCGATAGATCACGAAGCAGAGATAGAGACTCGGAGGAAGAAGGTCATCGTCGTCACAGTCACAAGAGGAGAGATAGGTCTAGAACGCCTACACGCCGGCGACGGTCTCGATCGCCCAGAGAATCTAAGAGTAGGCATCGACATCGATCACCTCTGGAGACGAAGGAAGACCGCAAACGGATTGAGGAACAAGAAGAGGACTCGGATATTTTGGAAGATCCCATCGGACCCGCACCACCTCCGAAATACCGGGGCCGAGGAACAGTGGGAGGGTCCTCGGGTATCGATCGACGATTTTCAGAGACATATGACCCGAAAACTGATATACAGATGGATGAGAATGAGGATGGTGGTCATACCTGGGATGATGCAGTGGAAGCGTTTAGAGACCGCCAAAAGCTACGTCAGAACCAGGAGGAACGACCAAAGGCAGCCGGCTTCGCTGATGAGCAGATGCAACGGGCCAGTGGTACAGAGGAGAAGTCGGTAGAAAGCGTGCAATGGTCCAAGGCTGGAGAAAAGAGAGCATGGGACGTTGACAAGGTAATCGGGGCGGACGGAGTGTTACAATCAGAAGATTGAATCTTCCAACGTGGTTACGGGGCGGTGCAACGGATTGGATAGAGGTTGTGAGCCGAGACACTGATTCAGCGATGATTGGACATAGCGTAACAAGCACTGCCTTGTTTCTGGGTATTGACTTTTGGTGACACTTTATCACGATAAGGAGCCGTCTTGTTAAAGACATTGATGTATGAATAGACGGATTGGAGACGGGCAATCGGTTGACCGATCAGGGAAGTCTAGATCGACCTTGACAATCTCCACAATCACTCCAAATCCGGCGCAGACGAGCAAGAAATATTGTCAGGGCTCCGGATAAGCACATGGATATGATGAATAACAAGTTCAATTAAGTTTTGAAACAGACTTTGGTACCTGAATCCGGGCAACAAAGGTCAAGTAGCGTAGTGGCATGGATCTCCTAACGCCATGTTGAACCAAAAGAAACAAGTCGGAGCTGGGGCTGGACCGGGCTGGTAACACAATACAAGACAATACGATAGAATACACGACTGATTTTGGTAGCGACTTTTGAGCCTGTAAGGCGGTAGTACAGATGGAGCGATACCAAGGACGGACAGTAAGGGTCGCTATTCAATATTGAGTTGAGTCTAAGATCAAGATTTCTCTTTGTCACGAATCTAAATTTGAGTCCTGGCGTTTGTTGTTGAAGGGATGATAATGACAGCTTGAAACTTGGACCAAGGGGATGAACTATTTTAAGCCCAGACTTGACATGACCAGGTACAGCTACATACTACACCTACCCATATTAGGCATGTGTACTCCGTAGATCAGGTACGAGATATAGGAAGGAAGTGAAGATGATGGGTTTGCTAGATTGGTCCTATCTATACGAGATTGATTGGTGAATTCGTATGAGTGTTGCGCAAGCATCTCAAAGATTATTGGATGGAGCGTAAGTCAAAACATGGACGAGATTATTATATGGATATATCGGCTATCCATAGTGGACTCAAGATGCCGAGTTTAGCGGTTACTTTTTCAATTCTGAATTTATTTCATCTCTTTACCAATTGACAAGTGATGTAGGAGGTATCTTCACGAGGTTGGTGGTGTTCTGTAAGCTCACCTGATGCTCTCACGGGTCAGGGTCCGTGAATAAAATTGACAGGCTGCATGGATAAGGGAAACAAACCCATCGACAGGGAGATCCAATGGACCGTTTCACCAGCGACAGAACAAAAACACGCCATCTCGACACTCCTGTAGCCTATTAATATTACTTTATCTTGACTAATGAGGTGCGACGTTGCACTGCACTTGTACAAGACCGTTCGTTCCCTGCTGCAATTTCTTGTTGCACAACAACTCAAGCCGTTTGCGGTACAAGGAGAGAGTCCAGTCGTTGAGGTCTTTCAGGAACAGTCAGACACAGAATCAGGAACAGCGTGGTTAACTTTTGCGGCGTCAAGACTAACCCCGATTACTTGGCTCACGATACGAATGGCAGATGGCTGGGGCTTCCCCCTCTTCAGGTTCTGTAATGTGACGTGATGTGACGGCCAAGGCCAAGCAGACAAGACCCTGGTTTTGGTTTTGGTTTGGTCTTTTGGTGGGCAGGCGCCTGATCATGATGGCCTAGGCTCAGAAAAGTCAAGGACCCCACGAGAGTTGTCCAGCTGAGTTGGGTCCGATAGAGAGAGGAGGCTCCATTACTGTATGTAGGTAGATAGGTTTCGGAGCGGTTATCATGGTCTCGGCTTGGATACCCAGGTCTCAGTCAAGTCAGCAACCGTTTATACCAGAATTCATTATTAATCTACTTGATCAACTGATCCTGAGACGATGTTGGGTGGTATCAAAAAGTCAACATCTCCGCTTAGCCAAGCAACCCAAGGCTAAGCTTTTTCTTTTGCTGTCCGTGAGTTGAGAATCAGAGCCAAGCAACCTAGCCATGGAGGCCGGACCAGACCAAGTAAACAGAGGGTCCTGTGGCAGGGGCCCTGCTGTGAGCGCTGTAACCGGCCCCCTGTAGTCTGTTTCTGTTTCTGAAAGCCCCGCCCAAAGATCTCCACTTACGGCACATGGCTCTCAGTATGCCGCGTGCGGTCTTTGTCTTTTCCCTCTAGACGGCCCCTCTCATCAGCTTTAGCTTCTTATGTCTTTTTGTCTTTGTCGTCACTGATTGACATTTTGTAGTTTTTAGTAGACTTGTTGGTACGCGAGTGACCTTATGAGTCGCTCCTTTCCCATAGTTTACCAAGATTACCTACTCGAGCTGTCGTCTATTCTCTGCTTCTGCTTCTGCTTCTGTTTCTGTTTCTTTTGTACATTCTCCACACTCTGAATGGATGATCGGTCGAACTTTCTAATCAGCCACACTGACATCAACCTTGTTCTCTATTGCATCCTCATCCCAAAGCTTCTCGTTGCATAGCACCGCATAAACTCTTGTTGTTTTCAACATACTTCTGTTAAAAAACCCTCTCAGACCGCAGAACCATGTTATAGTTTCCTATCGTCCTTTCTCTCTTTATCCGGATATTTCCATCCGACCTTCCATCCAGACTGCGAGCCAGACAAGACTGCAGTAATCAACTGATGATCGGTCTAGGCCCGAGGTGACGTCTTTGGTATATCTCCGACTGACCCCAAGGTCACCTCACTCACACCTCAGCTCACCAACCAACCAACCTCTCTCCTCTCTTTCCTTTTTACTCTTTTATCCTCTCACTTCCCTTTCCATTCTTTCCTTTTCCTTTTGCTACCTCTACTCTCCATTCAGTCTTGGAGGTACTTAACTACCATTCAAAATGCGTCCTCCACGCGTTTTTGTCCTTATACTCTTTGTCGCAGTTTCTCTCCTACTCTTCTGCCGAGCTATATCGTCTTCGCTTCGATCCGCCTACGCAGATTACCCCGCTGGGAGGAAGTCCAAGACCAAAACAACAAATACAAGCTACAGGCCTTCAGGGTCTCATGACGATCATGACAATGATAATAACGACAGCTCAGAAAAATCACCCAAGTCCGTCTGGAACTCCATGTACTATAATACGCCATTCTCTCTGTTCCCACCAAATGCTGCTATCAGCTTGACCGACGACAACAGCACTTCGTTTGCCGCCCGTCCCGCCGCTTTTGGGCCCAAACTGGCCATCAACGGTCTAAGTGGTCAATTATGGGTCGGTAGCGGCTTTGCAGAAGACGCACTTATACATGGCACTGGCGAGTTGGGCTGCAGCGACGTCCCAGGATGGAATGAGAGGACCGAGGCCATTGCTTTACACAAGGCTTTGAGGGCTGCTGTCCCTTCCATTGCTGGTATCAAGTCAGGCTCTTCGGCGCGCGCCAAGCGAAGCCGGGTCGTCATCCCTAATGCTGGTAATGGTCACACCACCTCTAGCCATGTTTCTGCGACGCACGACCATTCCGAAATTGACGGCAAGGTCGCCCTCATCATGCGAGGCGGCTGCGGCTTTCTCGACAAAGTAATGTGGGCACAACGAAGAGGCGCTCTCGCAGTCATTGTTGGCGATAACCAGAAAGGCGGCCCTCTCATTCAAATGTTTGCGCATGGTCCTGAAGTTGATAATGTCACAATTCCTTCTGTTTTCACTGCCCGTACCACCGCACAGCTGCTGTCCGCACTTACACAGCCCGGCAGCTTTATCGAAGATACACTAGACAATCAGGGCAACCCCGTTTTGAGAGTTCAACGAGGCCCCAAGTCCAAGAAGCATCGCAAAGATGCAGTCAAGTCCACAATTACCGCTTCAACTCATGATAGACGATCCGCTGGTACTACTCAACATAAAAAGCGATCTGCCAAGCCTGCCTCGAGAAAGCGAAAGACAGCTGTTAGATATTCCAGAAAGACAGTCACCCGAAAGAACAGGGCAACTAGAGAATCGCCCAAGAAGGTTCGAAGTCCTCTTCTGTCTGAGGACAATTACGATGATTTGGAAAAAGAGACGACTTTCAGAAAGTACAAGCCTATTCTTCCACCCAAGGCTTCCCATTCCCTCCACGACACGGACGCCGACGATTTTGAGCCAGATGAAGAAGAAATTCTCGTCGAGTTCTTGACCGAAGACGAAGAAAACGCACTCGATTTTACCATTGACCGATCCGGCGACAGCCACGAGGACCCCGACGAACTCGACGATGACGCACACGATGGTCTCTGGGTCACCATCACACCCACGAGTAATGCTAGCCCATTTTTCGATACGCTTCTCGTACTGGTCATCAGTCCCCTGGTCACATTGACTGTCGTATACGCCCTTCTCATCCTTCGCGCTCGAATCCGCCGAAGACGTTGGAGAGCCCCCAAGTCCGTCGTGGAACGTCTTCCCGTCCGCACGTTTCACACAGTCGCTCCTTCGCCAACTCTTACCCCGAGGGCGCCTTCACCGTCTGCACCAACGCCTACCACTCCTCTCCTCCAAGAGTCTCCTTCGCGGGCTAGACCTCGGTCAAGAGGCTCATCTGGTGCGCCTGCAGATGAAACACGATCGACACCTAGCGAAGCAATCCCAACACCCTCGAACGCGACTAAAAACAACACTAAAAATGAGCGTGAAAAGGGTTCAGGTGGTTTCTCTGCCGAATGGAAGAAGTATATGGGACGCCAAGTCGAGTGTGTCGTCTGTCTCGAAGAATACGTCGACGGTGTAAGCCAAGTGATGAGTCTGCCATGCGGCCACGAATTCCACGTCGCGTGCATGTAAGTACCGAATATTTTGTCCCTCTATGCTCAATGGCTAACTGTCTTTAGTACCCCTTGGTTGACTACCCGCCGGCGAACTTGCCCTATTTGCAAGGGTGATGTTGTTCGATCCCTCGCTCACGGCTCATCTTCCGAGCCCCATTATGAACCATATCGAGACGACGCAAGCGATGATGAAGACGATGACGACGAAGGAACTATTGCAGAAGGCTCCGGGGCACGTGACGGTGATGGAGAGTCGGATCTTGAGCAGGGCTTGCACTCGTCCGACCCCAGATCCTCGCGATGGAGCCGCGATGGTTGGCTGAGCATTTTCTCCAACGGCTTCACCAGGGCGAGATCTCCTTCTCCCGAGGATCGCAGCCGCTGATGCTGATGCTACGCACAGTTTGCTTACTGGAACAGTCAGTAAGCCATGGGATACAGTTTTGTTTGAAATCATTGGAGTTTTCTTGTATTTGTTGACTGGCGCAATAGGATGGGCAGCTGGCGCACTGGGATACAGAGCACAGCATGGATTACGGATCTTAGATCACATGGATGAATTTGGTTATAGTTATTTGGGTGCGCATTATGGGTGTCAAGACACTTGCGCTGGAATGCATAGATAGGTATACCCTTGATCGGCGGCTGTGTGTATTTCACAGACGATCTTGAATAATTAGCATTAGCATATTCAAATCGCTTCTCCACCACAACTCTAGATGAAACCTCTATGCTCATTACAAGTGCAAGAAACCGCGTCTTATATTTGAATCGGTGCTGGCGGATGGATGAGTACTGCTCACGCTCACCCTTCTTCAAGTCATCCTATCTTTCTTTTAGACCGTTCGCCTACGACTGTCATGGCCCTTATTTTGTGGTCAGATATGAAACTCCGAATGAATACTCCTGTCTATTTTTTGTCCTATTTGATAAACTTTTTGCAATTTCCCTTGTCCCACATGCTATTTAGATATAACCCTTGAGGATAGCAGCCTCGGCGTTCAATATCGAGGATCCAGCAGCACCAATGACGGCTAAAACAATCAGTATAAGTCGGGTTTTTGAACGACGGAGTAATAGACTTACTATTGTGGCTCAGAGCAGTGAACTTGATGTCAAAGATACCGGCCTCATCCTCACGTACACGGCCAACGCTGACAGTGTAGCCACGGCCAAGGTCGCGGTCGAGACGGGGCTGAGGACGGTCAGGCTCATCATCACCAAAGACCTTGATAGCAGGCTCAGGTGCTGAAGGGCAGCCAAGGGTCTGGGCCTCGCACTTGTAGTCGCGCAGAGCCTTGCGAACCTCTTCAGCTGAGGGAGAGGGCTTGCGCTCGAAGCTCAAGCTGACACAGGCAGTGTGGCCGTCCATGACGGGAACTCGGTTGCAGGTGGCTGAGACGCGAAGTCCCTCTTGCTCAATAAAGGCAGTACCGCTGTCGTCGAGACGGCCGAGAATCTTGCGGGCTTCGGTCTCGAGCTTGTCCTCCTCGCCTGAGATGAAGGGGACGATGTTGTCGATCACGTCCATGCTGGAAACACCAGGGTAACCGGCGCCGGAGACGGCCTGAAGAGTGACGATTGAAACGGTAGATATGGGGCCAAAGGCAGCCTGGAGGGCGGCGAAGGGGCCGACGAGACCAATGACGGCGCAGTTGGAGTTGCAGACGAGGAAGCCCTTGTTGAGCTTGTGGACGGAACGCTGGTGGGGGATGAGGTCGAGATGAGGGAGGTTGACGGTGGGGACGACGAGAGGTACTAGAGGATCGCGGCGGTAGTTCTTTGCGTTGGAGAAGACGGGGATATCGGCCTTGATGAAAGCCATCTCTGTGAGGGTTATTAACAGGCATGTATCATGAGACATGAAGAGGAGGCATACCAATATCTCCAGCGACATCCGAGTCAAGACCACTGAATACAACATCACAGTCCTGGAACTCCTCAGCCTTGCACTCTCTGACGACCATGTCGGCGATGTCGCCCATGGGAGAGGCCTGCTTCCATCGAACAGCATCCTTGTACTTCTTGCCAGCAGATCGAGAGGAAGCGCCAATGGCGTGGAGGGTGAGGTAAGGGTGCTGGGCGAGAAGAAGGATGAAGCGCTGGCCAACAGAGCCAGTGGCACCGAGGACACCTATACGAGAGAAGCGATTAGTCTTGTATTATTTGACGGCAGCGATATAAAAAGTGGCATGAGAGCATTGGATGCGAAATCGGATGGAGGGGCAATAATGGCTGTAGATGACATACCGCACTTCTTGGTAGGGAACTGAGAGACCATTGTGGGTATATTTTGTATAGAAGCGCTTGAAACGGAAGATACAATGCCCGGGACAATTCACACAATGCCTGGTGAGAGGTTGCAGATGTTTTTAAATTTTGGTGTTGAAGACGAGTGAGTCTAAAGTTACAGTAGTCCATTAAGAACCCCGCCAAATTATCCCGTCATCGGAGACGACTCGCCGTTAGTGGGTGTTGCCCCCACTATGGATGGTATGAGGATATTCATTCATGGGTCGAGTTATCTAATTCAAGGCCCGTGTTTTTTTACGATGGGTCATGTCTAGAAGATCCAATGACATCAGAAGCATATTGAAATATCTGTTGAATTTATTCAAAGAGAAAACCCGGACCATGTCTCGTATATACCTCTATCCTGAGGATTTATCCCAATCTCGACCTGTCTGCCATGTAACTAAATCAATAAATGTCAAACATATGAATGAAACGCCAGTTCATGCACATTAGACCCCCCAAAAATCGACTTCTTATACTCTCTAAGTTCGGTGCCATGTCGTTCGTATAGTCAATTGTCGACTAGGGCTCAACGGCACTTTCTCGGTCAACGTTGGAGTAGATTCGGAATTGAGCGAAGATGATGAGATCCTCTGCAATGGTACCCAGAGAACCAAGCAACCAAGGAAGCGCGTTAAGCAGATACTTCTTGTCTTGAGAGTAGGCAACCAGGCTGACGCCATATGTGAGGTTTCCGCTCATAGATAGCATAAAGAAAAGCAATGCGAGACCTATATGTTGTTAGTCTGCTGATGTTACGTTCGAAAGAGGAAAAAATGAAACTGACCCTCGCATGACTTTTCTCGGTGGTTCTTGATAATCTGGGGAATTCGGGCACTACAGCGCATTAGTATGACCATCAAGCTTCACTCGTGAAGAAAAACGCACCAGAGATAAAGAGCTGCACTGATGTATCCCAAAATGAGTCCTGCAAGCTCAATTGTAGTCTGCGCATCTTCAGGCGCATCGGGGGTGCCGGTGTCACCACTCTCCCAGGCGCCGACCTTGTATGAGACAAACCAGCCAGCAAATCCAATGACGTATACAGCGAGCAGGCTCAGAGCGTTGTGGACCCAAGGGCTGCTATCGGGGGTGTCGTCTTCGCCGGTCACGATCTTCCTCAATGGCTCCATTGAGGACTCGGTATGTGTCGCATGGCGTCGCTGAGACCCCGGGAGGCCAAAAGAAGAGCTTCGTCGGCGCGATCGGTTGATGAGAGGCGATTCCTCCGAAGGGTCAATTGGTCTCGCTTCCTCAGGGCGACTCGCTCGGCGGGCATTGATGGCGTTGTAGTAAACAGCTTGGCCGATGAGGACAATGTCGGCAATACAAAAGTAGCCTGCCAGGGCAACGGCGGTGGGGGCTAGGCGGGTGAACAAGGCTCCTAAAGATACAAAGTTAGCAAGTATGAAGGTCTGGCGTGGGCGCAAGCCACTTCTAGCCGATAACAAATTTTCTGACAAGGGCGTCGAAAATGGCGTAATAATAGTATTTGTCTCGATACAAATTTTGTTTTGGGGGGTATGTATGCAGGAATGCGCTTCGCAATGGGAACCCACCGATGAGATTTGTGACGTCGCCCAGAAGCCAGACGATGAGGAAGGCCATGCTGAGGCCATCAGCACTCTTGGCCTTGTAGTTGGCGAACAATTGGGGTAGCTGCAGGGCATTGTTAGTTAAGCTGGGTCAAAGGCATGCGACAGCCATTGCAGCTGCAAAATGTAACGCAAAGACGCGCGAATGAGGGACGTACCAGAAGGCATATCCAAGAAGTTAAACTGATGCTGCCAAAGATACCCGACAGAGCTAATGTGACTGGTAACGCATGCGCCGCGGCGGCGATTGAGGTTGAAGCCAACAGAGGCATGGCAAGGTAATCGTCGTCTGGCCGTAAAGATTAGAACGTAAGAAGAAAGAAGAAGATCGGAGGAAGAGGTGAAATCAGATCTAGGTATGGGACCAAGACCAAGTTAGTAGCAAGAATAAGAGGAGGTGGTGCGACAAAGGTGGGTATCACGAGGGCACCGAGCGACAGAGAACGAAACCGGGGATCTAGTTATCACTGTACGAAGCAAATAAGCTAGGCAAGTGTAGATCTTGCTCCAAAAACAAGGGTCGTGTTTTGTCGAACCCAAGGGCTTACATCCAGAACCGTTTGTTTCTCGTCACACTTTATTCACCTCTCTGAAGACGTAAGAAGATAAAAAGAGAAACTGAAGCAAAAAAAAGTTAGTTATTAACTAAAGTTACTCTAAAAAGAACGGTTATCCAAGGCAAAAGGCACTGCCAGCCCTGTCTGATAAGGGAATCCCGTCCGTTGTCGGTTCTGATAGTGCAGGTCTTATCACTGTCGTTTGGTAACTGCTAATTATGTATTGGCTGGCGAACGAGCGCTTATCGTAAACAGTGACGCACTGGGCTGGACGATCTTGTGAACTAAAAAATGGGGATTCCAAGGCGCGTGAGTCTTTTTTTGTGAGTGAGTAGAGGAAACGAGGTGAGGTCCTGGGACTCTCGGGCACCTCCGATAACAAACCGATGTTGAATCACAGTTACAGTAACTACAGTTATTCATACCTGATGGAAAGCAACATGATGGATCTATTGAAGTTGTTCCAATAATTGAAAGTCACTCAACTGGTTTCAGTCATTACTTGAGTTATAGGGTAGATTCATAACTTCAGCTCAGCCAGCCAACTCCATCTCCCTTCCCAGCCACGCTTTTAGTGTTTCGCGTGGAGCAACACATGCTTCCCCATGATTCGCCCTAAGTTGCTACTACAAGCTCCCCGTCCCGCCCTTCCCCCAGCCGTGCAGCCTAGCAGGCGGTAGGTAGCTTAAACCCCTGACAGCTGCTCATGAGAGACGATTGATCATGCTCCAGACTGAGGCAACGTGCGTACGCAACGGCAACCTCAGCCAACCACTTTGCGTTCAGCTCTGTAGCTTCAAACACTTTGGCCGATCTAGAACTCGCCTCTTTCTCAAGCTCAGAGTTGATTTAGTTTAAACATCTGCACTCACATTCTTCAAGTTCAGTATTGTTTTGTTTCCTTCATCCTGTGACCATCAACATCGACCTTTACTGTCTAGTATTCACGTTCATCCATAAGCGTCTCATCATTCGTAACACCCCCTCCCTATCATCATGAAGCTCTCTAGCGGTGCACTGGCTCTCGGGCTGGCCAATTTGCCCGCAACTCTTGCCTGGGGCAGTGAGTTCATCCTATCATGAAACCAGTCTTCATCCCAAGCTCACAATTGCAGGTCTTGGCCATATGACCACGGCTTACCTTGCCGGTCACTTCGTCGCCAACACAACCGAAGCGCACTTCAAGTATATTCTGTATAACGATGAGGAGGACTATCTTGCCAAGATTGCTTCATGGGCAGACTCAATCCGATACACGAACTGGGGCCGCTTTTCCAAGAACTTTCACTTTATCGATGCTCACGACCGCCCGCCTCATAATTGTGACGTCGACTATGAACGCGACTGCAAGGACGATGGTTGTGTCATCACCGCCCTCCACAACTATACTCAGCAATCAATCGAGCCTGAGCTGCCCTTCTGGAGGCGCAACCAGGCCGCCAAGTTTGTTGTCCATTTTGTCGGTGATCTCCACCAACCTCTGCATAACGAAGATGTTGAAAAGGGAGGCAATGGACTTTCAGTGATTTTTGATGGTAAACATTTCAACCTCCACCACGTCTGGGACAGCTCCATTGCCGAGAAACTCCTGGGTGGCCTTCACGGCGACCCTTCTAAGCTGGCCAACAAATGGGCCAACCAGCTTGCTGTTGAGATCACAGATGGGAAGTATGCGGAAGCTAAGGAGACCTGGTTGAAGGACCTGGACTTTGAGAAGCCCATTGACACGGCACTTGCCTGGTCCCGAGAGACTAATGCACTCGTTTGCACTCATGGTAGGCGATCGCCCCGGTAACAGTTTGTATTTCGCCTTATCTAACATGGATCTACAGTTTTACCCGAGGGACCCGAAGCTATTGTCGGTCAGGAACTTGGGGGCGAGTACTTTGAGAAGGCTGCCCCTGTTCTAGAGGAGCAGGTTGCCAAGGCCGGTTACAGAATGGCGGCGTGGCTGGACAAGATCGTCGAGGCCTACAAGGATGCTGAGCAGAAGCAGATTTCTGAGGAGCTCTAAGGTGGCTGTTTTCTGGTTAGCATATGTGTTCAGACGATGCACGTTGTTTTGCATGTAACTGCACATTTATAAACCTCCGACTTGGCACTATGGTTTTGTGGAATAACGATAATATTTTGTAACAAAATTACGCATGAAAACAATCCACAGACCGGAGTATGTACGGATATGAACATTTATAACATGACATCATATAGGCAATGGAATATAAACCACTTTAATCATGCTCGTTTATTCAATGTTACTCTGAGCCTGAGACAAAACGTCAGCCCGGCTGTTATGCTGAAGGGATTTTGCAAAAGTACAGAACGGGATGAAACTGGAACATTGGGGTAGACAAACGAAGTTTTTATGGGAATACTAAGCTTAAACTAAGTTAAAGAATAGTGATACATGTATCTTGTCGCAGGTCAAGTTACAGTGCAAGGGTCGCCGTTTAATGCAACCTCGTGGCTGCAACGTTCATGTGAGTCTTTCGTGGACGCTTACTCGCTTGCAACATTTCTGCAACGAATATTGGCCATCGAAAACCGGCTCGAAGAAGATCTTCAAATCTTATTAGTAGACAACGATTTAGATAGGATTCGATCGATAGATAATCGATGTGAGTTTTCTTTACAGTTTTCGGACCATCACTCAGCCGACCTGTTCTTTTTCGTTAAGTTTATACGCATGTTTTGATATCGACTAGGTATGGAGATGAATGACAGTATACAGTGACCATGATATATGTCCACTATGGCTTGGCCCGGTTTGCAGCTGAATGATTGAAACAAAATTGGTAATTAGATTCAGTTGAAAATGACTGAGCCAAGCCAATGCTTGAGGATTCTACAAATTGCGACAAGATATGGATATTTGAAAATGCCTCTTGTCTTGATAGATGACGGTTTCCAAGAGAGGGACCTCAAGAGTTAGGCAGGTACAGTGGACTGACTACTGTGACAGAGTGGACACTCTCCGACACTTGCGCTTAACGTTGAAGGTTTCGAAGCTCCAGAGGTCGAAACGTGCTGTGCCTGGAAGCGGTGACCCCTAAGGCTCGCCCCTGGCAGCTGCTGCAGGTACAACGATTGAAGTACTCTGATTGGCCACACCCACCGTTGCAGACTCCGTAAAGGGAAGGAAGGAGGCACGGGCTGAGACGCTTCCAACATCAACCATGCAGCAGAATGACATCCTCATTGTTGACTCATCAACTAGAAGCACCTTCTCTCTTGGCTTTGGAATCTTGAACTTATCGAGTACTCGGCATTATGTGCACCCGCCAAGATTAGCCAAGCGCTAACCAATGTGCCCTGACTGCTCACGATTCACTAACATTCTCTTGTCACACCAACCATCAGCCACCTGGAAGAGAACCATTATCTGGGCCTACTATTGATTATTCAACTCAGGCATTATCGGTTCTGGATGACTACATGCAGTACTCCGCCTCGTCTGCTACTCTTGCCGCTGTCTCATGCCCCCGTCACTGTTTCTCAAACACAGCTAGTGCTGTCTCTCTGTCCCGCGATGCTTTCTCTTGGTGTTTCTCATCAAGTTTGATCGCTACATCTTGGCCTCTACCCCTTGGCCCTACCAGGGCTGCCCTTACCGAGCAAGCGAGAGGTCATTGTTTGCTTCGAGCCTCGACCTTGCTCATGGAGTTGTGACCCTGAGCCTAGCCCTCCCCCCTCGACCGCCCAGAATTCCATCCGGTCTGATGTGCGAGCCCGAGACGTTGAATTGTCTGGGATTATCATAATGGAAGCAAGCATCTTTCTCGGCAACTTCGTTTCCGATATCATCTCTAGATGACCACTCCAGTTTTCCACAAGGCTTTAAACCCTCGTTCCACCGTCCTACAATCGAACCATCTTCTTACTCTCTCTTCAGCTCTGGTAGTCTCCTTTCTTCCATTCGTTCCTTTGAGGCCCTAGTTGAAATTATTTTCGTGTCAGTGACCATTCTTTTATCTTTATTTCGAATTGGTCTGGTACCATTCGAAAACTTTTAGACAACGCTTTATTCTCCTTCAGCTTTTCTATCATCCCCTTTCCTTCAACAAGTCAGTACCAGCATACTCTTATTCAAGATGCAGTTGAAAGGTGTAATGGTTGCTCTTTTGAGCATGTCTGTCATTGCAGACGCTGCTGTGGTTCAAAAGAGACACCCCCTGGCTCGCGCTCTCCAACGACGACAATTTGGTGGTGGCGGCGGCTTCGGTGGTGGTAACGGCGGCAACAACGGCGGCAACAACGGAGGAAACAACGGCGGTAACAACGGCGGTAACAACGGCGGTAACAACGGCGGCGGCGGCGGCGGCGGCGGTGGTGGAAACACTCTCCAAGGCAACGCCGTACAGACCGGATCTCAGCAGGATGGTAACAACCCTGGTTCGGATGAGCAAGCAGCCTCGGCAACGTGAGTCAATCAACAGCAACACCGAAGATAAACACGGAGTATTAACAGACCACAGAGACGACAACAACTTTATCAACTTCTGTTCCGGCCAAACACTCACCAACGGAGAGCAAAACCGAGATGGCTCATGTAACGGTATCCGTAAGTAGTGGCATATCCTCCCTGCTCATCCTGTATTAACCCTTTATGCAGCTATGGGAAAGATCCCTTCAGCCAATAACATGGTTTCCTCTGTCTTCACATCACCTCAAAACGGTGACAACATCCAAGCCAACCAGGACTTTGACATCTCGGTGCAGTTTATCAACTTCGCGCCTGGCTCGTTTACCAACGCGACGAACACCTACTACTCAGCTCCTCAGGATCTTGATGGTGGTGGTAACATTATCGGTCACACCCACGTCACAGTCCAGGATACCGGTAATGACTTAAACCCTACTCAGCCCCTGGACCCTCAGGTCTTTGCCTTCTTCAAGGGTATCAACGATGCCGGTAACGGCCAGGGTCTCCTGACTGCTAGTGTTGAAGGTGGTCTGCCTGATGGAAACTACCGTATCTGCAGCATGTCTGCCGCATCCAACCATCAGCCTGTCCTCATGCCTGTTGCTCAGCGAGGAGCTCAGGACGATTGTATCCGTATCACTGTTGGAGGCAATGGCGGCGGCGGCGGCGGTAACAACGGAGGCAACAACGGAGGTGACAACAACAATGGTGGCCAGGGAGGCGACCAGAACAACGGCCAAGGTGGTGACCAGAACCAAGGCGGCGATCAGAACCAAGGTGGTGACCAGAACCAGGGCGGCGATCAGAACCAAGGTGGTGACCAGAACCAGGGCGGCGGTCAAGGCCAAGGTGGTGATCAGAACCAGGGCGGCGACCAGAACCAAGGTGGTGATCAGGGTGGCGACCAGAACCAGGGCGGCGATCAAGGCCAAGGTGGTGATCAGGGCGGCGATCAAGCCCAGGGTGGTGACCAAGCTCAGGGTGGTGATCAAGGCCAAGGTGGTGACCAAGCCCAGGGTGGTGACCAAGCTCAGGGTGGTGATCAAGGCCAAGGTGGTGACCAAGCCCAGGGTGGTGATCAAGCTCAGGGTGGTGATCAAGGCCAAGGTGGTGACCAAGCTCAGGGTGGTGACCAAGCTCAGGGTGGTGATCAAGCCCAAGGTGGTGACCAAGCTCAGGGTGGTGATCAAGCCCAAGGTGGTGACCAAGCTCAGGGTGGTGATCAAAACGGAGGCCAAGGGGGTCAGGGTGGTGGAGGTGGCGGCTTCGGAGGTGGTCGTTTCGGACGCGGCGGTCGCGGTCGATTCGGAGGCTTCCAAGCTGCTTCAGCAGATGGCGCTGCCAACAGTACAACTACGGACGCATGAAGACAATGATGAGTTTATAGAGACACAGGCAGAGCCATTCTACTTGACCGCGGCCCTGGAGGTTTTCGGTGTGAGTACCCAATGGTGGTTCTTGAGTCGAAAAATATTACAATATTCGACCAGAAGATTAATGAGGATGGAGTTTGGGTATATGGCTAGTTAGAACGGTTTGGGTTTACATCCGCCCGCCTATGGACAATGTGATGATAGGATATTAGGACTTGGAGGTGAATGCCCTTCAAGATTTGTTGTTTATTAGTTGAATAAGAATCGGTCACGCTAAAACTACATGTGCATTGTGCTGTGAATGCCTCTTCATGAGAATTCTCTCACAATCTACCATGACATAGGATGAATACAACGGGGAGTGAATAAAACAGTAATCTGAGAAACCGTGTTACAGACTTGATATGAAACCAGTATGTCACCACTCAAACCATAAGAGTTTCATGGCAGAGGCAGGTGTTGAGCAATTTGAGAGTCAGGTGAACTGGGGAATGTTTATCACGAAGTGAGGTTGTCTGAGATGAGTCTGGAACACAACAGAGTTAGTTCGTAGTCTTGGTATTTGGCATCCAGTAATGTTAAGGGGCATGTGAAGACTCGTTGGTAGACAGGATGGACAATTCAAGAGTCTTGCTCATCGGTATTGCATCACAAGAAATGTCCATGTGATGATAGCAAACCCTTCGTAGAGATTGTATCACCTTTGTTATCAGATTTTTAGATAAAGAGCATCTGATAAATGAGTAGATCTAGGTAAGATGTTTGTGTTATAAGAACTGAGGTTCGACAAGTATGTAAGGCAACACCTCAGCTTTGGTGAAGAATTCTGAGAGAAGAGACTTGATTGAATGTTGAATATATTCACTATAGTATTGCCAGAACGTCACAGAAGTTCTTTGTCTGTGCTGTAAATCAAAAGACACGCTTGAATGGTATTATTTCTCCGTTCATCAAAGAACGGTACGACCAAGTTGAACAGTTCCCTAGACTTGGGTCTATCCCATAACCAAAATCCAATACTTTCTTTCCATCTGTAACCACGACCCTCTAACCACGCTGACGACTGTTGAAGAGTTAGTATCACGATAAGAAGCCAGACATGGAAAGTAAATAGCCTACCCGCAGCCCTGAGGCGTAACAACACCAAAGGGACAATCACCAGAGATCTTCTCAACGATCTGGTCAAAGAAAACAGGTGTAACCACGATGCCAGCGCTGACGAGAGACGCAGCAGCAGAAAGAAGCGTGACAAAGATTGTAGTCTTCATTGTGACGATGTTTAATACGCAATGGCGTGATATTCGAAGCGGCACTCAAGAGATAGAGAGAGAGATAGATAGACTGGTGAATATGTGGGGAAAAGAGAGAAAGACGCTTGAAGTTACAGAACCAGCTGAAACACAAGAGAAGAAGAGATTGAATTAAAAATATGGCCGACAAGGGCTTTTTCGAAAGAAGGTGAATTAATTTATTTTTGGTCAAGTTTTGAAGAACAGGAAAGCAGAGGAGAAAGGGAAAATCGAGACGGGGGGGAAATGGAGTCGGGAGGCGGCAAAAAAAAAAAGGGACTGTAACAGGGGCGTGACGGTCAAGGTTTCAGGTTGTCAAACGGAACGGCTATTTACCAATTGGGAGATATAGTCCGGATCTGTACAAGTTATTACTGAGCTTAATTAACCATGTAAATAATGACATAGTTCAAGACTTTACAAAAGATAGATTTCCTACTATCTACCTATCTCATGGGCCTGTTGCGGGTTTGACCTCACTCCAACCCTGGTATCCCAAACATATAGCAAAGTTCACCATCTCCAGCTGATTGAAAGAAAATCATGTAGTTACGTGTTGCATGAATTACCAACAAGTGGAATAGAAAAGCTCATAGCAGTAAAAAAGTGCAAGGCTGGTTATTGAAAGCTATCGTAAAAGTCGACTATCCTTCATGGGCGGCCGCGTCTCTAGTAAACCCCACCACTTTGGTAGTAACTGTCTGGTGCTGGAGCAGAGGGACCGTCACCAGGAGGGACATACGGCTTGTACTGGTTCTGTCCACCACCGCCGCTTTGGCTGGGAAGACCGTGTCGAGCATCATATCCGGCAGCATTTCCAGGTTGCAGAGGGGGAGGGGTCATGACACTCTGAGGCGGAGGAGGGGCTGAGCCTGTGGGCATAGGGGGAGCTTGTGAAGGGTTGTAGCTCTGGTATTGCTGTGGCTGTTGTTGATGACCACCGTAGGGGCCAGCAGGTGGTGCAGTGGCGTTCTCATTGGGTTCTTCAGGAGAATACACTGAGCTAGAGAATGTAGCAGATGGAGCAAGCGGTTGTGGGTTGTTAGTCGCGATAGGTGAGTCGTAAACAGAAGTGGCCAGCTCTTGGGCTCCATACGTGCTTCCAGGTCGACCTCCCATAGGCGCTTGACCATACGGGTTGTTGCTCTGAGATTGATTGTAAGGGTTGAAGTTCGGGCCAGGTGTCGATGTGTTGATAGGGGCGGGCTGTTTGCCGTTGGAAGGAGATTCATTTCTAGGAGGATAGGGTTGCGAGCCAGCGGGCACTTCAGCTCCTGCTACGTAAAAAGGAGCTGGTTGACCTTGGGGTTGGTTCTGGAAGTTAGGGGGAGGGGATGAGGCCTGGTATGGAGGCTGCTCTAAGAGAGGGTTAGAATGAGGTTTGCATGTCGATTTTCAGAAAAGTTACTAACCTCCAGGGCCAGGTGTGTAGTACCGTGATGGATCCTGAGGCGGTGCTCCTTGGGGAGGATATCCGCCAGCCTGAGGATAACCTTGTCCAGGAGCTGGGCGCATGGCATACTGTTGGTAGTTGTGCTGAGGAGGATGGGCCATGGAAGACTCCAACAAAGCCTCGTAGTCTCGTCGAGCTTTGATGAACTTTTCATTCAATTGTGTGAAGTCGTCTATCTATCGTTAGTTGCGTGTCGCATGAGCAACAATCTCATATCAACTAACCTTTCTTCTGAGAATACTTTTCGATCAACTTGATGAGTTTTGGTCGAATAGCAAGTGTCTGGTGATACAGCTTCTAGAAATCATGTTAGCTCGGTTTCTCCACTCATGCGCAACAGTTGAAACATACGGAAATCTCCTCATTATCCTCTTCTCTGGGCGCAGTGTTGGAGGTGCTGAGCAATGTGAGAAGTTTCTCAACGTTCTTGATCTCAGCAAACACCTCGGCCTCCATCTGAGCCTCGCGCTGCAGCTCATCCGCAGTAGGATCGGTAAGCTTCTCGACATAGTTGAGTGGAAAGATACCAGTCTTGCCCCTGAGAGAGCCTCGCCACCAATCCTTGTAGACACTCTCAAGAACAGCAATCACGTCACCCTTCTTGAATTCAAGCTCGCCAGGCTCAGAGGGCGCAAAGTCAAAGAGAGCACGTACTCGGCTCACTGTAGCAGCTGTGGTGCCAGCTGGCGGGGCAGGAGCAGGACTCTCTGTCTGGTTGCTAGGGCCAGCTTGTACTCCTGGACTGGTGGCAGCAGTCTTCTTGCGTTCCTCTTCTTGAAGACTAAGCGTGAGCGCCATTTGCAGCTCCTCCTCTTCCTTCTGGCGATCGACGTCGGTGAGACCCTGTTTTTGAGGAGCGCTTGGGGGCTGGAGGTTCGGGTTGCTTCGTGTAGCACGGTTGTAGGCATCTCCCATGATACCAAGCTCAGGGTCGTTGTTGAACATATCGGTCCAACTCTTCATGTGCTCAATGATCTTTGACTTGACTTGTGTGTGGGTGTTGCGGTCGTTCGTCAGGCGAAGAAGGGCGTCTGTGAAAGCACGGCTGGAGAGTTCGCGATGCATGTTCTTTCCACAGTTCTGGGCGAGCGCATGCGCAAGCTGGTTCGGGGTTAGTAGGTGAACTAGTCATTACAGAAAGCAGGACTCTATCGTACCTCAAGAGTGTAGAGCTGGACGTTGGCATTGCGATGCGCGAGACGTCTGATGATACTCTGGACAGCCTCCTTGGGGCCATTTTGGTCGTTGCTTACTTTATCGCAGACCTCGATAATGGCACCCCAATCTTCGGATGTGAGGTTCTCGTCGGTGGCCTTGGCTATGCTAGGGTTAGTCGCACGAACAGACACATAGGAACGAGCGCCGACTGAAAGAAGCCCGCTCACTCGGTTTGGCAATAATGAGGGAGATATAACGTACTGACGACATCGTCGTAGGGACCTGCTGCTGAGGCTCGGAACATGATGCGTGAGTTGGGTATCAGTTGTCGATAGGCAGCGGGGAAACAATGTCAACGCGGTAGGGGCGCGTGGGGTATTTGTTGGCTAGAAGCCTTGGGTATTGTGCGGATATCGATCGTATGGCAGAAGAATAGGGTCAACTAAAGCGACAAAATTACAGTTGAGGGTGAGAATATGTTGGTGACAGTGATGCGAGATGAAGATGTCCCGTACCAAGACCCTGGGTTACGTCGGCCGTCGCACCCCACAAGCACGTCACTTGAACCGATCTGGTAGATTGAGGTAGGTACCTGAGAAGGCAGTTATCGTACGTCGTAGGCGTCTTTGTAGGTATTGCCTGTTGTTTATTTCACCTGACTAATAAGTTTGTGGAAAGTTGCAGACAAAGCAAGTGAAGGTAAACGAGAGTTTAAACAGGCTTCCTTCCAGCTTCTCTACCACTGATGACGAACGAGCGGCGAAGGAAGCAGCGGGGCTGAGCTTAGTAGGTTCGGTTACCATGACCTTGAAGCTCCCCTGTACTTGTCCAGGTTCATGTGGCTAGAGGACACGCGTGCGCCACACATAGATACCTACACAGCCAACCTCTATCTGAGAGTGATCAACAACTGTATCACGATTGATTCCTTGGCTTTCATCTGACTTTAAAAGATCAAGCTTATCGATATCTCAATCTTATGAAACTTGGGAGGCTCTGAAAGTGAACTCTAAAAACACCAAAAACGATGTAATTTGTGGTATTAGCAGTACTACTGTAGAATAACCTTCACGGCTCTCCATTCTTTGTATGCCTACAATTTCGCGTCCAGTTGCGCGTCCTCATCACATTTGGTGACGTCCTTACGTGGCGCGGTCCCTTGGATTGGGTATCATCATAGACACTTACAGTTTGGATCGCAGATTCACGACAAACACATTTTACTCAAGTGTAACATTCAACGCTGCAAATGCCTTTGGCCCTTGTCGGGAAAAGGGATGCCTCTCGCTAGCTACATACACTACACACGCTGCTGTAAACCCATAATAATTTATACATGTCCATGTACGCCGCTCATTCCATTCATGGCAATCTACTGTGTCCTTCCATCAGGCAACCAATGCGCCATACTGCCGGCAACTCCAGTGCCTTTGAAACGAAACAAATAATTCTAATCAAATCATGGATCTCTATCCATTATTTGCTGCCAAATGAATGCTGTGTTTGCATCGCAGTGTGTCCAAAACGCATATGCATAGATCAACATGTCGTTCTTACCAACCCCGTCTTGAAGCGCTACGGCTTTCATATCCTCCCCTATCAGGTCCAATGTTTGGCCCTCCAGATGCGCCACTACGCGCCTCTTCGATACTTCGTCGGCCCTGTGCATCCATTTCTGAGAGATCAAAAACCAAGGGCTCCTCGTTGACCGAGTCATCATCAGCCCGGACCTGCCTATTGAGAGATCCATTGAAGCTACCTCGGGATGACTGCGGTGGGGTTTGTCTGTGTGAAGCCATGCCCATGTATCGACGGCGTCCAAATGGTGAGCTGGACGTCGCTGCCGGGATCAAACCCTCAGGCGGATTCTCTTCCGAGAGTCCTTGTCGCAACATATCTGGCGTCTCCGCACTCCCGACATCGGTAGCTGGCTCAAGGCTGTCTGATGGCCTTTGTGTAGATTCTTCCTCAAGTTGCATTTGTCTGCCAAGCAGAATGCTCAACGTAGGCGGCTCTCTGTCATCAGCACCCAAGCTGATACTTCGGTGTGCAAAGGCTGAGTCTGTATCATCATCATCAGCCATTGACCGATTTTGTAGCGCAACGGAGCTCGCTCGTCGCTGGTAAGTCGCAAGTCGTGGCGAAAGAGGGATATCAATCGCCGTTGTACCGTCCTGCGTAATTGTGTTTTCTCTGATAGTCCCTGGCTGGGCGTTATCAGAAGTTCGTCCTTGACGTGAGGTGATCCGTCCTTGGCCAGTATAATCAATAATTGAATTCTCGCTCAATCTAGACGGAATCGCTGGCGTGTGAGGTGTATGAGGTGAAAGTGGTTTACCAGGAGATGACGATGCAGACACAGAGGCTG